TGTGTTTGTTTGTTTGTTTTGTTTGTTTGTTTGTTTGTTTGTTTGTTTGTTTGTTTGTTTGTTTGTGTTTGTTTGTGTTTGTTTGTGTTTGTTTGTTTGTTTGTTTGTTTGTTTGTTTGTTTTTTGTTTGTTTGTTTGTTTGTTTGTTTGTTTGTGTATTTGCGTGTGTGTGTGTCTCTAAGGTATTTAAATCAAGAAATGGGGGTTGTGGTGGTTTAAGCGGGAACCACTTACGACCAAGTACCAACTCCGAAGAGGCTCAAATCTGAGCTCTCGTCCAAAACGATTTTAGGGTTTGCTAAATATGAACCTGACTTTGATAGTTTTGCTTGTTTTTCCCCGAAACAGAAACAGGACACCTTATCCTGGAAAAACCCCGAACCAAGAGCAGCAAACGGACCAGAGGCAGAGGCAGCGGCAGTGGAGGAGGAGGTGCCAGAGCCGGTGTCGTACGCTTTGCCTTGCACGGAGCCGTCAGAGTTGAGCATGGAGGAAGTGAACGCGATGGAGGACACGGTGCGCTCGCGACGGTAGATGTGGCTATGAATTGTAGGGAACTGCCTCCAAAGTTGCCGGTGGACACAAATCCCCGTCTAGTGGATGTCTATCCGAGGGTCCCCGATTTCACACCCCAGTAGATTTGAATCCCTTAGGAGTCCGAATTTGGCCATTGTTTCTTGTGAACTTTAATTTGGACATGTTTTATATTTTATTTTGGTGACTACTTGTTTTTGGCAGTGAAGTAGATTTTACCCCTTTGGGAGTGTCTTGTTTTGAGTATTGCCATTCTTCGGGGGTTGAAGGGAAACAAAAGAACAAAAACATGTTTTTTGCGCACGCCTGCGTGAGTAGAACACACACACAAACATCCATCTCGTTTGGTGGGTAAATGTGGTGAACTATTCTGTACATGGAGTGGTTGGGGTAGATGTGAACTGCTTTGAGCGCGTTTGTTTTGGACTTCATACCTTTTGGGGTGGTTCCAAAGGAACACCAAAGTGAAAACATTTTTGGGGGGCACCCCTATTTTAAGACTGCCCTTCTTTGCGAGGGAAAATGATTGCCACAGATTGCCATTCTTTGATTTTGTTCCATCTCTTTTTTGAATGATTGCCACATTTTGCAATTCTTTGATTTTGTTCCATCTCTTTATTGGAGGTTTGAACCAGTTTGTCAGGAACATGTCATAGTTCTCAAAACAGGGGAACCGGCTTCTCTTTAAATACGAACCCAAAGGGCGTTCGAATCCCACATGTTGAGAAACATGCGGCTTGGTCAACACAAGGAGGAGCAGAGCAACCAGTCGGAGAGCTGCATTACCTCCAACGTCTACTGGCGCGAGTTTCTCGTGCGATCGATAGCAAGCATTTTAGGGTTTTGGAAGACTACTTTGCTTTTGGGGGAGCCCCCTGTCCACTTCCATGTTTGTTGGAAATAGGTACCCAACTTTGGCCTATGTTTCCAGCCCAATCCGTTGACATCCCAGTTATTTTGCTACGGGCTGCCTCCCGAGGAGAACTATGGCTCTTGCGTTTTGTACGTATCCCCACTTGGTGCCGAAGGGGGGATCTACCAGTAGGTCCTTGAGAGGAAATCACACTTATGTGCTATGTAGCACCCAGCCCATAGCCAAACAGCACTTCCCTCCTGGAACAGCCGACAAGTTTCGCAGCTCGCAAGTGTGCCTCCAATAATCTTCTGGCCTGCATGGCGAAGGAAGTCAAACAAAAATCAGGCGGTTTCGGCGCAACGTGCCGCTGTCAAAAAGTGGAACGGCATGTCAGAAATTCCTCCCAAAGTCTATCACGCTGCCAAGCCCCAAGACTTTCTGGTGGAAAGCAAGCAGGGGTACCAAGTCCATAGATCACATGCTGACGTTGATGTCTTTGCAAGGAGAGCGGCTCGGAAGCGCCATGATCTGTCTTGTCACAATTACCCGAAAGGAAGCCGGGTGCAGCCAAAAGGGGGTTTCATAATTTTCCGCTCTTGAAGTTTTGGATTTGGGGGGTTAATAAGGGGAAGCTGCAAAGGAAGCTGGCTGGGCAATGGAAAAGCATGGCTGCACCCATTACTAGCAGGGGTGTGTCACCCGCAAAAGAGATCGGAATTTACACAAGGGACACCTCCCAAGCAAAGTCAACTCATAGACACATGGGTTTGTTATCCCAAAATCCCAAACTAGGGAAATCCTCCCAAAAAGAAAAACTGCAAAACATGAACCACTAAGTGTGCCAGCAACCCTCCAATTGCTGTCCAACATAATGTATATACACACACATCGTATATGTATACATACATATGTTTATAGGGAGGAACGGATGGTTTTTGATCTGCGTGGTTTGGTAAGTTTTCCTTATGTACTGTCTCTTGTTCACAAACCTTGCTCGAAGCCATCCGCTCCCCCACCCACCCAGGGTCATGGTCGCACAGCTAGCTCATACTTGGTAGCCCCCCTGTGTATTCTTGTCGTCTCTTTGTGGTCCGGTTTTCCTGTGGTCCTGTGGTTGAGTTGTGTGTGGTCAGGGTTGGTTTAATGGGTTTAGGGTTGGTTGAGGGTTGGTTTAGGGCTAGTTTGTGTTTTTCGGGGTTAGTAGGTTTGGATTGGGACTGATTTAGGGTTGTCCCCCCACCCCCCCACCCACCCGCAGTCCTGTGGTTGGGTTGCGGTGTAGGGTTGGTTGAAGAGGGTTGGTTTGGGGTGGCTTACGGTTGGTGCGGTTTTAGGGTTGGTTTAGCGTTGGATTAGGGTTTAGGGTTGATTCAGCCTGGTATACCTGTTTTGGGATCCATCTGCTCAATTTAGGATTGATTCAGGGTTGGTTGGGATTGGTTGAGGGTTGGATTGGGGGTGGGGGGGGGACTAGGCGGGACACGGGGCAATATATAATTAGATTTGAATAACATAACAAACATACATATATATGTAGAGGTATATACATGTATTAATACATGTATCGATAGATAGATAGATATAGGTTCAGCACCCAGGAAGAACAACGCCATCAACATGCGCGGTGCCCATCGCACGGTGCAGGGTTCCATGGAGGCGAGGTGTTCGGTTTCTCGTTTACTTCGGGAAGCCAACAGGAAGTTTTTGTTGGGAGCGAACGGGGGGGCCACCATGTTGGGGTGGGCCCATCTTTGGGGGGGGGGGAAACAACACGAAAGTTGGTTTTTTTCGTTTTTTTTTGCGGGGGGGGGGGGGAGACGATGTTGTGGAATCCTTTTTGGGGGGCACGGCCAAACCAGGGAAAACTGTTGTTTTTGGGGAGGGGGGGCACCATGCTGGGGGATGGAGTCCTTTTTGGGGGGTTGGGAGGGTGTGGGCTATCCACGGCTGCTTGTTCGTTTGGTTGGAACTCCAAGTTTGCCACGGGGGCCTCCCAAGAGTGGTAACGGTGTCCTTGTACTTTCCCCGGTCAGCCCAAATCCAAGCTTGGGGTCGTTTTTTGGGGAGATCCCTGCTTGGGTTTTCGAGGAATCCAAAGGGCAACTGAAGGACAGGTTTGTTGTTTCCCATTTGAGACAAGCCCATGTGTTTCCCTTCAGGGGTGGGTTTGTGGGTTTCTCAGGGTGAAAAGCCAAAAAGAAGCTTCCCAAACTTTAGGAGACCAGTTCCTACCTTCAACAAGACACATATTTCCCATTTTGGTGGTTTCAAGTTTCAAGCCACCTGGTCGACCCAAGGCGAGTTTCTTGAATAGGCTTGATGTTTTTGGGGGGAAGCATGGTGACCTGTTGCCGGAAAGATCGGAGAAAATCAGCCACCGCTTTCAGAGTTTCGCCATTGGGTCTACGTTGGGGACCCAACGTGACCCAAGCAACACAAATTTGTTGCTTTCTGTGGTCCGGGGGGGGGGTCGGGGGCATCCCCTGTTTGACACCATTGTTTGGACACCTTTAGGAGACCACCCTTTTCCAGAAGCTTCCAATGTTTTAGCACCCCTTGGTCATGGGTTTTCTTTTTCTTTGTTGCACCTCAATTTCAATGTTCAATGGATCCCTGCAACTTTTGAAGAGGAAATTCAACGCCCTTTCGCTTTCAAACGACTTGGAGATTCACAAGGGAACTTGTTTTGTTTCGCTCACTACCCGAGTTCCCACAATTTTACGTGTTGATGCTCAGCATTTCAGTGGCAAACAAAAAGTCTGTCCCTTGTTGGGTCAATTCACTCAGGAAGACAGTTTATTATTTGGAGGTTGGTTCACATGTTGCCTAGGTTCAAACAAGTTAAATTCCTTTGGGTGTGGATGGTTTGGTTTCAGTTGAGCTCTCAGAGATAGGGCGACTCTAAGGAATCATCTCCTTGTACTCCTTTTCGTGGTTGGCTTCTTTTCAGGGGAAGCAAGCGCCTCAAGCGGCGCCCGCTTCTAATTCTATTCATGCATTTCCTTTGTTGGTATGTTTGTGCTTGGTTTCTCTCTCTCTCTCTCTCTCTCTCTCTCTCTCTCTCTCCTGATTGAAGTTCATGTAGTTCAGCAGCAACAGCAGCAAACGCAACAGCGACAGCAACAGCAACATCAACAGCAACAACAACAACAACACCAACAGGAAACAGAGACAGAAACAGAAACAACAACAGCAACAACAACACCAGCAAACAGAAGCAGCGGCAGGAAAAGGAACAGTAACAGTATCAGCAACAGCGACAGCAAAAGCAACTACTAACACAACCACAGCAGCAGTAGCAGCAACAACAACAACAACGCCACCAGTAGCAGCAGCAGCAGCAGCAAAAGCCCAACAAGTCCTCTCGCCAGGAAGCATGCTCATTTTTGTTGTAGCGCTCCCTCAGTTCCTGGCTTCAAACTTGTTTGGGAAGACCATTTTGGTGGTAAATACCAAGTTGGGCCAATGCACTCAGGAAGTGAGTTGCATCCTGTTTGGTGGAACCAACGGGCTCCAAGGTTCTTCTTTGCTTTCCCTTCTGAAAGCTATGGTCTTGACAGGCCCAGATATGCTTGGTGATGGTTTGCAGCAAGTTTCGGGAGGGTTCCGCAGGCTCCAACGGCGCTCCGGGGTTGTATAGAGATACCTGGGCTTATTGTCTCCGACCAATTCTCGAAGTGGAGGTCCTTTCCGGATTCTGGTTTGACCTTTTCTTGGGGGGGACCTCAAAATGGAGGTCCAATCTTTTCCCCCGTAGTTAAAAAACAACAAAAGAAAACAAAAAGCAAAAACTCTCTCTCTCTCTCTCCCCCGCTGCGGGTCTCGCTTTCGTCAGGCGTGCCAGGCCCTGTGCGCCAAGACGAAGGGCTGCGGCCACTTCTCCTTTTGGTCGGACGGCGGGTGCCTTCTGACCTCCACCACCGCCCGGGCCATGCAGCACGGCGGCGTGGTCTCCGGACCCCCCAGCTGCTCAGGAGGCCTTCGAGGGGTTTGGGGCGGTTAGAGGGCAAATGGGAAACCCCGCAAGGAAGCTGCAGCAGGCTTCAGAGGGGGGGGGGTTCAGCATCACCTGTTGGTTGCCAAGCAAGTTTCCTTGGGTGATGTTTTGGACAGAGGCCAATTTGCAAGAAAGCCGGATGTTTTCGAGGAATACCGTCGGACGTGCTTTGTGGTTGGGTGGCTCTGGATGTCTGATTCTGGATTTCCGTTGGCTTCTGGATTGCATGAAACCCACAAAGATTGGGATGGAACCAACAAACCTGGCGGCATTGGGTGATGGATCATGAAAGTGGCCGCATTGGGGGGAGTTCTCAAACTTATCTTTGAGGGCGATCTCTCACGAAGTTCACTTTAGTCCGAATGATTCAAACATGTCTTTGGGCCAATGTCGCGCCTGGAGTTCTTTCGGTAGGATTTGGTGAGTACTCCAAGGCAAGACCAAACGAAAAGGAAACCAAAACCTGATTTTGAGACAGCCTAATTGGTTTTCTTTTAGTGATGTGTCCAAACTTGGACACACACAACGGCCAGATGTGTCAAAATGGGGGACCCTTAAAACAACGCGTCTTCCTTTTAACTGCTGGTTTCCCTTTTGACTACCCCCAAAAGGGCACCACACCTTTTTTTCACCTCCTGAACAGACACCGACCCCTTGGCGTGCTGAGCCTCAAAAAGACGACCCAAAAATCACCAGTGGTGCCCTGTGCCCTGAAGGGCTTTGGTTTCCCTAAAACTTGCGTGCGATAGGGAATGTGGGAGTGAACCTAGGCTTTGGCAGGATACCACCAGTTGGATGGTTTATCTCGGAATTCCATTCCATGTCTCATTCCCATCTCTCGCACCAGGACAAACTTGAAAAGCCTGCAGTGAGGCTCGGCTTGGTTTTCCCGAAAAGCGAGTGGAACCTAGGTCGGGTTGAGACCCCCACCTCTCGGGTCCCACTCTCACCAAAAACGGGGCTGCGCGGATCGATCCATGGCTGGAGGGCTGCTGCGCGCGCCCTGCGCCAGGCGCCGGCGAAGCGGAGGAGCCCGCCTACATGGGCCCCAGCGTGATGCGGGTGCAGAAGCGCGCCGGCCTGGCGCCGCCCAGCACGGTGCAGCAGTACAACGGGGTCACCTGGCCCACCATGAAGGTTGGCCACAAGCAGGACATCGGCTTGTTTCTGTTATTTTATGGTTTTAGATAAGCTTACCATTTATATGTTCTTTTATATATATATATATATATTCATATGTTTATGAGAACTTGACAGCCATAGACTGACCTCAGTGAGAACATTATTTTATCAGTTTGTTTTTTACATTTGGGATATCATTTTGATTATCATTGTTTCATCATTGTTCCATCATTGTTTCATCATGTGTTCATCATTTGTTCTTCATTTTGCACGGGTTCTCGTCATTCGTTCATCGTTTCTCTGCAAAAGCGTTGATTTTTGTGATTTGTAGGTTGGGTTGTAGCTTTTTTCACCGCTACTGTACATTTTTGCAGGTATCCGTGCGAACTCCTGGAAACATGATGAACAAATGATGAAATAAATGATGATTTTCCGCGCAAAGTTGCAAATCCTGAGGAAATTCTGAAAACTAAGGAACATGCCAGCAAATCATCCTTTGTTCATCATGTGTTCATCATGTTTCATCATTTTTTCATCATTTCGCAAGGGTTCTCCTCTTTTGTGCAGAAAGAGGACAAATCATGAATCCGCGAGAAATGATGAACAAATGAAGAAGCAATGACGGGGCCAAACGATGCCAAAACGATGAATAAATGAGAAAATAATTATTTGCATTTTCTCAGTGGTTGGCTGCCCGAAGATCTCTTAAACATATGTTTCATTCTCTTGACTCAAGATTTGTTATTGGAGAATTGTTGTTTGTGTTTGTGTTGTTGTTGTTGGTACCCTTTAAGGGACCAAAAGATGCATAGGCCAGGTCAACAGTGTAGTAGATCAGACAAGTAAGCTAATAATCCCATCATAGCGCAGGGAGAGAGAGAGAGAGAGAGAGAGGGAGGGAGCGAGAGAGAGACACAGAGAGCGCCTCCCTTCAACATAGAGCCTCGCCAACCAGACGAGCAACTGACAACGTTGGCTGTCCACTGTTGGTTGGGGAGGGCATGGGATACCACCCGAACTTCTGAAAAGAAAACCAGGCATAAAGTCCCGGCCCCAAGTTGTCTAATGTCCGTTTTGGGACGCAAATAACTTATAAAGATGATATTGTTTGTTTGTAGCCTTCTAATGACCAGGTTGCACTGGGCGGAAAGACCATGCTTTACCCTTTTCGGCGTTCTTCTTTTCGTGGAAATGGGGTGGACTTCCTACGGTGCGGCCTTGTTCGGTCGGGCAACCTTCGGAAGTTCCAGGAGTACCACATGTTTGCCATCGGGGACTGGGGCAGCCTTGTGGGCACCAACCCGGGCCGCATGATCCAGCGCCTGGGCCTTCCGATTCTCGCTTGGCGGGGGGCCAAAAGCCCCCCCCCCCCCAAGAAAAAACAACAACAAAAAAGGGGAAGGCGTCCCTGAAGAAAGACCTGGTGGCATTCTGGGCTTTTGGGGCCAATTTTCGGGGGCTTGTGAGGAGCTGCCGAACTTGCCGCATATTGTTTCATACTTCCGTCCGCAATCCCACGGCACGGGTGACACTTTTGGACAGCAATCCCCAGGTTGAGTTTTCCCGCTCCCCTGCAGGTGGACAAGCGTTTTAGGCGGAAAGCTGGGTCCTTCGAGGGGCGAGTCACATGGAACCTACAACCAGGAGGAGGGAATCACCAGATTGTCCTGGCTGCAGTTCGCGGAGGGTGCCACGTTCTGATTTGAGTTCTCCATTTGTTTTGCATCTCAAGGGAGAGGGGAATGCCTATCTGCATTCCTTTGGTTCTTTGGCGAGAAACCTCGATTCGATCTCTGGGGGGCCAAAGCAAAATGGCACTCCGGCGAATGCTCCGCCCTTACGAACCAGCTTGGAAATGCACCCCTTGTGGACATCGCTCACAGAGCTGCCCAACTTTTGAGGCATTCCAAATTGCGTGACGCCCTTCGGAAAGTAGGTCGATCCAAGGGCGCGGGTTCCATCTCAACGATCTTTAGAGCGATCCTTTTGGGGCGCGGGTTCCTTTTTGGGCTCCATTTCAGTGGGCGAGCAACCTTGAAATTTGATCTTCCGTCGAAAGCCTATCTCTGGAAGGACAAACAATGTGACTTGTGGCCGCAAGGGTCTTTGAAGTCAAATGGTTGCTGCTTGGGAAAATTATTTAAACCCTCGTGTCAGAAAACTTATCCTCAAGCAGGTCTCTTGGCATGACCACTTTAGTTTGGTTGTGTGCACTGTGATCCGTTGAGTTGCTACAACCCCTTCCTGAGGTAGAAGCAGACCAACCTGAAGTCTATGTTTGATGGTTTTGTTCTAGGTGTTTTCAATCTCAACCCCCTCCGTTCACATTGGCTGTCCTCGCTTGTTTTCCGTCGCTGTGCAGTCGAAGGTATGCGGGTGGCCACCTTGGGGGTCCACACACCATGGCGCGCTGGCGCGGCGCATGCAACACCGACACCATGATGGACTGCATGGCCGGCAAGGCGGGCAAGGGGCAAGGGTGCCTTCTGGGACCCGAAAAGCGTGGCGCCACCTTCTGAAGGGGGGAATTGCCAGTAAGGACACCTACAATTGCGACACTTTCGGATTTCCCGTTACACCAAGCTGAAAAAGCACTCAAAACAACGCATGCGAATCTGAAGGGCAACGCGGCGGCATGAGTACCCTGTTCTTCGATTCCCAACCGAAGGGTTTGGTTGCCCGGAAGCCAACGCAGAATGTGGATTAAGTCAACAAACTCAGGGTTTGGGGTGGAAAGCAAGGGGTGTTTTTCTTGAGGCACCCTTTTCGGGGTATGTGTTGGATTGGACAAATCGGAAGGAGTGCCCTGACACCTGCCACTTCGACGCCGACGTCGACCCGAAAGCTCAGGCGCGAGAGAGAGAGAGAGAGAGAGAGAGAGAGAGAGAGAGAGAGAGAGAGGGGGGGGGCATGCCGCAAGACTCTAAGGACAGATCATTTCTCCCTCTTATCCAAAGAGATGGCAGACTCGACCGAGGTCCGCGTGGCAGATGCCTTGAAAAAGAGGGCACCTTCTTCGAAGCCCGACGTCATTCTCAACGTCGGCGACAACTTCTACTGGGGCGGTGTGAACACAGACACTTGGCCGGACCAAGATTTGATTGATTGGTTGATTGGATGGGATCGGAATGGAATAGAACGGAATCAATTTGGATGGGATTGGACTGGATTTGGTTTTGATTTGATTGAATGGATGAATGAATGAATGAATGAATGAATGAACGAATGAACGAATGAATGAACGAATGAACGAATGAACGAATGAACGAATGAACGAATGAACGAATGAACGAATGAACGAACGAACGAGCGAATGAATGAATGAATTAATTAATCAATTAATGAATGAATGAATGAATGAATGAATGAATGAATGGATGGATGGAATGGATGGATGGAATGAATGAATGAATGAATGAATGAATGAATGAATGAATGAATGAATGAATGAATGAATGAATTGTTTATTTAACGGTTTAATGTTGTGTTGAAATGTTGGTAGGTTGAAGCACAGCCAGCGGAGGAGCCCTGGTTGTTAAGCGCATCCGACTTCATGATGTGAGCGTCTCTTTACATTCCATGTTATCCGCCCTTTGTTGTTTGTTGTTTTCCGCCCCACACAACAATAAAGTTCCCCCAAAAATTGGAGTTGCGCCCCCTTGGTTGTTGTTTCCTGGAGGCAGCCGGCAAAAAATAAAATGTTTTTGCGGTTGCGCGGGGTTGGAGCCAACGGCTCAGAATTGCGGCACGCCAATGGACAAGATCCACCCGGTGACCGCGCATCAGTTCACCGAGATCTTCGAGCGAGTCTACCACGGCCCAGGTGGAAGATCTTCCATCGGCTGCCAGTTTGTCATTCTCAAACAACCCAGATCCCTTGAGGTAATATATACATATATATATATAAATATCTACTAATATGTAGATGAATATATACATTAATATACATATGTATATATATATATATGTATACATGTACACACCAACATGTGATTCATTTTCTGTGGGTGAATATTCCATACATGGAGTTGGGATTTTCCTGAGCCCACAATTTTGCTTTTCGTTCGTTCCTTGGAAAAGCCCTGCTTCATTCGCCCCCCCCCACCCCAGAAAAAGCGTTGCTTGTTGAGTAGAGGCCCTGGGGAACTTGCTAACATACGCCCATTTTGCTTAGGACATGGGACAATGGTATGTGTTTTGCTGTTGAATCGAAAGGTGGTACCAAAGAGGTGAATGGAAAAGCACTGACGTGTTCCTTGGAAGTGTTGTCACGCGCCCAAGCCGGCAACGAGTGGTATCATATAGAATTCAACTCAAGCATGGCAGTCGGCAGAGAGAAGATTCGAATCTGCGATTGTCTCTTGGTTGCTCTGGCCTTGACCGGAAGAACGGTTTGTCCTTTTGGAAGTTCATGGACGTCTACACTAACTCACAACACGAAACCCCTTGCAAGAACCCAGTGGCAAAATTGCGGGGAGGGGCAATGTGGACCCCAAAATGTTGTGTTTCCCCTCGTGTCCTTCACAACCACCCCAATAAGGGTCCCCTTAAAAAAGGCATCAGAACGGGGGGGCCCCCGAAATAGTGGTGTTCCTTTTCGTGTCCCTTCAACGCAACCTAAAACAGTGCCCTCAAAAGACACATCGAAACGGCAAGAATGTTTAGACCAAGGGAGAAAATTCAAAGGGCGGCTTGCCAGGCATTGACGGAGTTCCCTGGCTCAGCGTTCTGGGCAACCACGACTATGGAGGACAATGCCGGGTGCGAACCGCGGATCCGGCGCTTGTGAGCCGTCAAGTGAAGTTTGGTATGGAAAGCTCACCCAAGATCGCTGCAGATCTCCGCCCGCGCGTTGTTTTCTCTATGGAATAAAGCAGGTTTTGATCGTGACTCAAGTGTTTGTTCATTGAGGACGCTTAAACCAGCTGCCACAGAAGAGCTTTCCAGGGGATGTTCCGAGCCCTGCTAAGCTTGAGGCAACAACATGCATCCCTCCGACATAGCCCAGGTGCTGTTGGGAACCTGAGTCCGTTTTTTTTGGAGCCTGCCCTTTTTTGGGGCTGGTTCAAAGGGAAACCAAAAGGACACCAACCATTTTGGGGGCTACCCCATTTTGTGACACATCCACTTGTCTTTGTTGATTTGAGGAATGTATGTGGGCGGGGCAATGTCGTTCACCTAAATCCTAACAGGTAAAACCAACACGTCACCAAGCACAGGTCCGTTCAGGCATGTGTTTCTCCCCCTTTTCGGCAAAGCCGTCCCAAAAGGAGGTTCAAGGGAGCTGTGGTCAATCGCTCACGCCTGAGGATTCCAGTTCAACAAGGCCGGGTTTCTGGCACTCTCAAGCTGGGTGGGATTTAAGGGATTTGTCAACCACTTCGAGTAGGGAACCCTCCTTATCAAGAAATGCATAATGAGGCAAGAGAAAGGCCTATCAGAATCGCAGGGCGTGTGTTAAAATAGGGGGACGCCCAAAATGGATTTCGGTGTTCCCCTTGGTTTTGAGCCTCAAAAAAGCACAACGTAAGAGCTGGGTGGTTGCCGCTGGCTTTGCGCTTCCGCGACCAAAGGCCCTCAAGGTCCTGCAACAAGGTTTTGTGATTGCGTTGATGAAACACCTCCAGATGTGTTGTTACATTCCCTCAAGGTCCTTGTTGGAGCTTGAACAGTGGCAGTGACATGTTTCAACCCTCCAGTGATTTGATTAGCTTAAGGGGATATCCACCTCGAGTATGATTGAACTGACTGAAAAGGGAGGTGTAAAAGCCATGCGAAACCAAGTATTCATCTATTTTATATACCCAAGCGTAGCGTGTGCCTGGAGGGGTCGGGGCGGGGGGGGGGGCATGGCATATTTGCTTGTCCGAGCGATCGATTGCAGGGCTGGGACCAGCAGATTGCATACACCTGGGCCAGCAACCGATGGGTGATGCCAGGCAGGGTTCGGGCAACTGGGATTTCTATATGTCTTGTTGGTTTACCTTTGAACCAAGGTGAAAAGGGTTACCCTCAAACACACACGCACACACAAACAAACGAACGAACGAATAAGCAAGCAAGCAAACAAACAAACACAAACAAACACAAGCAATTCCACAAACAATTACACAAACAAGCACACAAACAAACACACAAGCAAGCAAGCAAGCAAGCAAGCCAACAAACAAACAAACAAACAAACAAACAAACAAACAAACAAACAAGCAAGCAAGCAAACAATTCAACAAACCAACAAACAAACAAAACACATAAACAACCAAACATACACGCAAACACACAGACACACAAACACAGGCACACGCACACGCAGACCCACACACACACACGAATGCTTCGGAGTCCTGGGACCGTGAACGGTCCTAAGTCGGGTGACCCGAAATGGTTTCTAACACCTGGGCTCCTCTGGGATGCTACACGCAGGTTGTAACCCGTTTACCCGTTACACGGGGACGAGAGAGCCTTTCAGGGCACCTCAAAGTCCCTGAGGCAGACATGAGACAAAGTCATCTAGGCCCGCAATGTCTCGCAAATGATGCCAGGCCCAGAAAAACAAACGCAACAAACAGTTGTATCTTTCAACCGGAACTCTGGCATGTTCTGTTTGGAAGGACGAAGCAAAAGAGCTTCCCAAATATGGGTTTGTCTCAAAAATTGGCGGGGTGCCCTTGGTTTTCCTCGAAAAGAAGAAACATGGTGCCGTGAGAAAAGACACCCAAACGGTGCAATGACTCTCTGAGTGGGCCATGTGTCGCTTCTACCGCTGACCCAAAAGGTATTGATTAAGCTGCGCAATTATGTGCCAATGTAGGGGTGCATAAACAATGGTGGTGTTCCTTTGGTGTCTCTAGAAACCAACGTTAAATCGGGTACCCTCAAACAAGTCTCACACCCCTGTGCTGTCCATGTGCAGCGAGTCGCAAGTTGAGGAGTCGACTTGGGAGTCGGGAGTGGCCAGGCCAGTACTTCATGCAGCGAGTGGAGTACCCCGAGTTCTCAGAGTCTTGGCAAGGAGCGTGGGCTATGACCTGGGCTATGACCTGGGCTTGTCTCACCCCTCAAAATTAGTGGTTTCTTGTTGGTTTCTTCTCTTTGAACCGGCAGGGTACTCTAAGAAAAAGACAGACCCACCTATGCAAGCAAAAAGCAGGTCCGTACAGTCCTCCTTAATTTTGCCAGCCCCAGCATGGCCAGTATCTTCCAGGCTTGTCTGACCAGAGTTTTATAAACAGTCCTCCAACGCAGGGGCCTGGTTCCAGTATTGCAGATGCCATGCTAGTGGCTTCCTTTACATGTTGTTTTTCTTTGTGGCAAAACACACACTTCATCAACACACCTCCTCCAGGCGTTTCTTCCGGCTTTTCTTTTCTTCACCAACAAGCCTCTTCATCTTCTTGGCGGGCACCATTTAATTTGTTTTCCCGCACCAAAGCTCCTCATGTACAAGCCGCGGCACCCAAGTTTTGTCACCAACTTCAAATGCAATAAAAACTCAGGTAGATGAAGGTTCTGTAACGCGTTTTGATTACAGGTGGAGATGTACATGCTGGACACCAACATGATGGACAGCCACCCTAAGCACGCGGACCCCAAGCACAACATCTGCGGGGAGATGAACAACCCCCCCGGCGCCAGCTGCTCAGCCACCGGAGGGCCCAAGGACCTGGACGACTGCTTCAAGTTCATGTGGGATCCTTGGATGAGCTCAAGAAACACCCTAACAACCTGGGGTCTCCTCCCTAAATGATATATATATATATATATACAGTATATGATATATACATATATATATATATATACACACAGGGTAGACTTAACCTTGACCCTCAAACTACCATAAAAGGCCCCACGCATCCCCCAAAAGCACCCCTTGAACCCCTGGAACCCTCTTGGCCGCCGCGGCCTGTGTCCTGGGAACCCTCCTCATGCGCCCATCCATGTGAGGCACCTAGGCACCTCGACCGTTCGAGTGAAACCTTCCGGAGCCCTTAGCCAAGGGATGATTCAGCCTGTACAATTGGTTGGGTCGGAATTGGTTGATTTGGCCCAACATGGCCGCTGGTTTCAGCTGTGGGATCATCAGGCTACATTGCTTCTCAACGCACCTTGTTAAAAGATGTTTACAATGTGTGTGTGTGTGTGTGTGTTGCCGCTTGATCTTAGGGAAACTGCTTTGCCACTCTCGTGTGTCATCCTTGTGTTACTTGCTTGTGCAACTTGCTTGCTCATGATACACAATCAGCCTTTAACGCCCTTATCAACTGCCACATAGAAGCTTCCGTTTGATAAGCCTTTACAGCCCCGTATTTATTATTGTTATACAATCACCAGATCTGAGATGTTACCAGCCACCATTTGTTGGAGCTGGAGCAATTTCAGGCTCATGTTTTCTGGCAGCCCCAAAAGGGTCCTCTGTCCAATAGCTTTGAACACACCAGGGCGTCCATGTAGCTTGGTCTTCCAAGACCCTCCCCTTCGGTTCCAGGTTTTTGGACGGGGTATGTGAATAGAGGGACCCAAAAATGGCTACGGTAGTTCTTTTCCCTTGCCAAATCAAGGTGGAAAGAGTGCCCTCAAAGTACACACACACACGAAAAAGTAACATTGTATGGAAAATACTCTCGAAGGGAATAATGGACAAACAAGCCCATGCAAGACATGTCCACCAAAGGGTTTCACTTCAAATTCATGCAGGGCCAACAAGCCACCGAGATCGAGTCAGTCTCATTCCCCCAAAGCTACAGACAAGGGGCCAAGGGGATTCCCAATTGTCATCCCAGGTATGTCGATAAAATCGCCAGGAAGAGAAGCGTCTTTTGACCATTTGTTTGTTTCTTTTTCTGGGTGTAGAGTTGAGAGATGAATGGCTTGCTGCATACTAGCCTTGTTGTTGACATGGGTTGCCGGGTGTTGTGCAACAGTGTGATTTTGATTAAGGACCCTCAGGTGGACATCCATTACGCGGGGATTAATGTCCGCCAAGCTTCGAGGGGATTGCCCATGAACATTAGCAAAGCCTGTTTGCCAGTAGCAGCCTTTGTGCAAGCTGGCACGTTTCGCGTGCTTCCTGGTTGAACTGATTCCCCGTACCCCCGGGCTTGCCGAGGGGACTTACACTTTGCGGGCCCAACAAATCAGGTGGAGGGTCGAGAATGTTTCTCAGAACCCTAAGAACCACTAAGAAGATTCTAAGGACCTTTCCTGGGTGGGGGCCTTTGATTCCAAGGATGTTTGGAGAGCCGAGCAGAAGTGGGTGGAGGAGAAGTTGGAGAAGTCGACCGCAGACTGGCAGATGGCAGCTGCACTGCATGGACGATGCATCGGTCCATCTTTTGGGTACCCCAAGATGTGATGCAGAAACCTATGACCCATGAAAAGGCCTGATTGTTTGCGTTGCTCAGTAGCGCCAGAACAAATTCGTTTGGTTTCAATGCCATCAGCCCTCCTGCAATCTGTTGGGGGGGGGGTATTGACTACTGGAGGATCATTCAACATCTAACCTTTTTGGGCAAATCACCGCCACTACAGGGGCACAGTGGTTGAAAAATATGGAGGCCCCTTAGAAATACTAGTTGCCTGACGGCAGATTCACAAAATAGCAAGGTGCCAATGGGCCAAGTGCGAAATGCTGGACGCATTTTGCGGCAAGCTGCAGACTGGACTGCATGTGATCCAAGAAATGCGCACATATAGCAACTGACTGCCAAGGCGGCGAAAACTCATTCTCAAGGTGGGTATGCGTCAAAATAAGGAGACCCGCAAACGGTGGGTGTCCTTTTGTTTTGCCCTTTAAGCCAAGGTGAACATTTTAGCGAGCCTCAAGAGACACGCACACCAGGTGTTTTCTGTGGGGATTGACGTTGCAGCCGCCCAGGTTGTCACGCACTTCCAGTGTGGGCACCAGGCCGAGTGGTACAAGAAGCTTCACAAGAAGCTGGGGCTGGACCTGCTTGTGGCTGGGCCCGACGGGCTAGGGAAGCCCACAGTTGAATGAGTTAGGGAAGCCAAAAGGGCCCGCCCTGGAGGATATGGCCCCCACTTTTGACAACGCCCCAACCAGTTGTTTGAGAAAGCCCAAGTTGGAGAAGTTCTCCAGTCCGGCATGCCAGTCGCTTTGTATCCCTCGCCTTTTTCGGGGCGCTTGGACCTTGGTGCCTTCCTTTTCAAAGGAAAAAGCCGCCAAAGGGCCCCGATGTTTGGATTTCAGACCCCCGCAGCTTCGGCCGGTTCTGGCGCTGATGGGCGAGATGCAGCCAGGGGCAGCCATAGGAAATCATGACGAGTGACCAATGGCGCCTAACCAAATCGTCCATGGCTCCAAGTTTCAATCACCCTTTTTAGCGAGCAGAAACCATTGGGCGCAAGCCTCAACGCAACTTTCAGCAACGGATATGTTGGCTCGGGCACCAATGTAGGGCACAACGAAACGTGATAGTAGTCGCTGTGAATTGCAGAACTCCGTGAACCACTAGCACCCTGAACTCGCATTGCACTCTTGGGACACGCCTGAGAATCTGTTTGCGTCAGTGCTTTTTCATACCATCGCTGTGCCGGCTTGTTTGCGAAGCCTGTGCCTCTTTGTTGGTACTGAAGCACAATTGTAGCATGAAGTCAGACAAGCAAGCCAGCTGAATTTAAGCATAGAAGCAAGCGGAGGAACAGGAACTAAATATGATGTTCTTGGTAATGGCGAACAAAGGGATTCACGCAGGTGATAATCCTGTGCGTCACTTGACACAGTGCCTCTTAAAGTCACGCTGCTTGGAATTCAAGCGTAAATTGTGGCTGAGGTGACAGGGCACACCCACACCCAGGCGATCTTTGACAAGTGGAAGGCAGCAACATTTGGCCGCCGGTGCGAGCAAGGGACATGGCTGTTTTCAGGAACAGTTTTTGGCATGAGCATGCTTGTTGTTGGGAATCCCCTCAATAAAATGACTGGTGGGCAGCAAAAAAAAACATGCAAATGATGTTCGACTGCCATGTCAAAT